ATCTAGAACCCAGGATGCTCCTGCCCCTCTGGAAAACAAACACGTGCACGCCACACTGGGGGTGCACAGCGGGTCTGTGTCAGCACTTGGTATCAGCCTGCAAGTAGCCCTTTAAGACCATCCCTTTCTCCTTTTATAAACTAAGCCTTAGATGACAGTGTGTTGTTTGGAAGCTTCCAGGACTAGCACTGGTATGAAAGCCTACAACATCTGCTGTTGGTTTCAAATTAGAGCATTTCTTCTCCCAATGTACTATTGAGAACATCTCTCAGGTTTTATTGTGAGTAGTTGTGCCATTAAGGATCGAAAATTCTTGGCATTTCGGTATTTCGGAAGAAGTATTTGTTATAGCCTTCTTTCATCTCAATTTTTTTATTGTTAGATTTTGTAGTCACTGTCAATTATTTCTGACAGAGCAGTGTATTACCATAAGAAAAAAAATGTAGTGTGTTACAGGAAAATCAGTGTCAAAGAAGAATTAGAGGAGGTAAGAGTGCTTTTTCAAAATGTAAGTCTTATTAAGCAATTAAATAAATGAAATCAAATCAAATACAAACGTTAAAGTATTTGTTTAAAAAAAAAAAGCCAGAATGTAATTAGTTAAAACTACTATATTATAATAGAATCACAAATTTCTATAATCAGGCACCACATCTGCTGACTCATTAAATATACCTTTCTGGCTTAATTCCCCCCGCCCCCCATTTTTCTGTAAGCAGAAAAAAAAAAGTAAAATCATTCAAGAAATGACTGTCATAGAAATGTGATTGGCCTACAAACTCAGTGCTTAGTTTTCTACTTCCTTACTGGTTTTTGTACAGACTGAGCAAGTTTCTTTCATTTTTCCAAACATTTTCAATTTTATTACTTTGCTTTCTGGTTTCATTCACTATTATTAGCCATGTCATTATCCTCCTCAGCACCGTCATCATCATCATCATCATCGTCACCTTCTGACAAGTCAAAATCACTGAACCCCAGGGCCATGTTGACCTTCTTCCCCCTTCTCTTAGATGTGGTTTTGGAAGAATTCTGCTTGGCTTGCATGTTTATCTGCATCCCAGAATGCAGCACAGCTCCTGCTTTGTTCATTGAGAAGATATCCCCAAAGCCCATCAGCATCATGGCCTGCAGACTCTGGTTCATGCCATGGCCCTCCCCGTTACTTGCTGCTGTGATCTGACATGACATCTCTGCACTGTTTGACTCCTCTGTCTTAGATTCAAAGTAAGACTCCTCAGACATTCTTGCAGCAAGAGGCAAGAGAAGCTATCATGAGGAAAGAAAGGACAGAAGTAAAAAGAGAAATTAGGACCAATTTAAATAAGGAAACAGATACCACAAAATTAGTGGGTGCTGCACTGAAGGTAAATGATTAGTGAAACAAATGAATGTAGGGAATTATGTGAGAATTTATTTAATGGCAGGTTTGGCTCCAGCGTATTTGCCATAATTTATAAATGACAGAGTAAATCACAACCAAAAGTTTGCAAAGCATCATGGCAGGCCAAATTTCAAATGGGAAGGAAGTTGCAAGTTTTAAGCCCTCATTTCACTTAAAATAGTTTTGAGGATTGCACTTAATTTTTCCCAATTTCACTTTCACAGAAACATTTAGCTAACTATTAAATTAAAAAAGAAATTAAGTCGAGATTAAATCTCAAGTAAAAAATCAAGAAATGTACCAAAGAATAAAGCTTAGAGGAAGCGTGAAAACAGTTCAGTAGTAAATACCCTTCTACGGAAATCTGGACCATTAATCTCCTTTTCCTCTAGGTTACTATTTGACGCTAAACTAAAAATGAGTCTAGAATTCACTGGTTTCCATTTATTATTTATTACAGCCAGATATAATACTATTCAACTTATGACATAATTCACATGTAAACAAACTCTAGATCTGTCTCTAATACTTAAGTTATAAACAAGTACGTAAATACAGATGACAACTGGGAGGAGAGGAAATTAGTATTAATTTAGACTGTGACCTTGTGCTCTATTCTCTAAGTGTCCTTCTTTTAGCAAAATTTGTTTTCTAGGAATTCCCCCTCTCCCCGTGGATACTGACATCTATTTTCTACCTTATGTAATTATTTTGAACAGCTAACCTATTCCCGTAAGTATTGATCATATTCATTTCAGAGGTAGAATTGTCAGGATCTAAAAAGTGTTCCTGCTTCTTCTTTTGAGGAATAAGCAAACAGGCTTATATTATATTTTTGGTATTGCTTAAATATTGGTAAATTTATGATAAACAATATACAAGTAACATATGGAATGACCTTTACATCCTGGGTGTAAAGATACATTTTAAGGCCAATTTCCTAATTTTTAAATTGGAGTTTTTGGGTTTGTTTTTTTAAGTTTTTTGTTTGTTTGTTTTGTTTTTTGTTTTTTTTTTTCAAGTAATCTCTACAACCTATGTGGGGCTTGAACTCATGACGCCAAGAGATCAAGCGCCGCATGTTCCTCCAACTGAGCCAACCAAGGCACCCCCGGAGTCACAAGTTTTTTTAAAAATATCTTACTCTATTAGGAAAAGATCTCCAGAGTTGTTAGCTCAATAACAACTTCAAAAGCTTCAGCTAAAAAGTACCAGTTATATGGAAGAAAAAAATTGCTTTAGATCCTTTAACATTGGAAACAGGATATTACTTCCCTTGCAGTCAAACTTCCCAGCTTTTCAGATTTGTTTTCAAATGTTAGATTCTCTTAGGGAGCGCTTTGTTGCTGATTTATTTCATTATTTCATGGGTCCTTCCTCACATTATGTTAAGTTCTCAACAGATGTCTCTCAAATAAGTTTTTATTTTGAAAAGAAAATTTTTACATCAAGCTACAACAATAATTAAAAAATAAACATTGACCATATTTATGTGTGGAGAATTCATCTTCCTAGATACCTTCAACTAATGTTTTAATTTCAGGAAAGATAATAGTATCCTTCCTAGAAATAAATCCAATAATTCCATCTTTTATGAAGTTACATAAATGTTAAACTTTTATAATTAAGATGAGGCTACACACATATGGAAAGCCTAAGCCTCCAGCTACTTCCTTTTAAAAAGGTTTATTTTATCTTTCTCTCAGAAACCTCATTTAAAGTCAACTAGAAACTGATGTAAAGATAAAACAAAATACCTACTTAGAAAATACCTGAGCACAAACTTTCTTTCCTTCAGAAATACCGGCTCTAAGTAGAAGAGACATTAAAAGCAAGTACTGTAAGAAAGAAAACTTAGCCCTCATAGGTAAAAAAAAAAAAGAAAAAAAGAAAGAAAATCTCTGAGACCATGCTTCATGCTGTCCATTGTTAGATGGTAGCCTTCAGAGCAGGTCCTTTACAGAAAGTTTTCTGGAGTTAAAACGCAAGCATATAACCTACTGAGCACTCCTACGGTTTCATTATTTATTACACAACAATGTTACTAATAGCAATAATGTGTGCAAGGCAGCCCATGATTTCTTAGCAAAACTAATGCCAATAAACCAAAGAAAGATTCTAAGGCATACTGTAACAGGTAGTTTAAAGTTTTTTCTTACAGTGCTACATTTAGAAGGAGTCAAGCCATGCAGTGCTTTATAGCTTAAGATTTCAATGTACTTAAAAACAAAAACAAAAAAACACCTCTCAGCCTTCAGAAGACAGCCATATTTCTGCCTCTCCTCAGCTCTGGGAGAAGCAGTGCTCCTTGCAGACCCTTAGGGTAATGCTTCTGAGTCTGCTGGTTGATACCAATTTAACCAGAACAGGAGACTTCCCTCGACTTCCTTCTTGAGAGGCAAGTTAAATTCACTGAACTTATAAAATGTGGCACCTTTTAATGTCCCACGGTAGTCTTACGTATAGCAATTCAGTTCTTACTTTGGAAATCCCTGCACAGCCAAAGTCATTTCGGAAAAAGTTAAATCTGATAATAAACATTTAACTTCACTCTATTTCCCTTTTCTGGATATCAGGTTGCTTCTCCACATGAATTGGAAAAGGAGGCAAACTCTTTTATTCTTTAGACACTGGAAAAATATTTTGCAACTGGGCACTGGCTGCTAAATGAAGATTAAGGCTTTTAAAAATAGGAAAGCTTTTTGAAGATTACAAAATGAACGGCATTTAAGTATTTTTTGGATATAACTGCCACAGCAACTATCAAAAATGAATTTAAGATACATAACAAGATTACCTCTAATTTTACCATTACTTGTGATTTTAAAGTGGACAAACATTACCCATTAAGAACTCTGGAAAAGCCAATGATAAACTGAATTCCTGAAATGATAAATCATTCAAAATAGGGAAGAATCCTAAAATTTGATTAGACTTTAATATATCATGGCAAGATATAGGTGCAAGCTAAATATGTAACTAGTGAAATCCTTAAAAAGAATTTTTATTTTCCTCTAAATAGAAGACTTGGAAGAAAACCAAGGTATTTCCTAAGTGTAGTAAATACTGGAGGCTTGTCCCAAGGGAAGTCTTTTTCCAATCTCTTGCTACAATGATTATAACACTAAATCGAGCGAGGAATATTAATGCTTGTCATTTATATGTCACTACGTTTGCTTTCTTTTAGGAGGAAAACTTGGTTAAGTTCTGCCACATCAAGACTCTAGCTAGCTGCCGCGGCGTTACACTTATTAATTACTGATGGGCTCCATGGAGTTAATCAGCCTTTAGGCACATGTTCTGGGGATCTAACAGATGGTATGAAAATACACTGCATTTTATTTTTGTAATTCTAATATACAAACACACTGATAATAACAGTTCTTAGAGAAAGAGCCAGAAATAGGCTAAGCTTTTCTTTTAAATTTCTGGCATTTTGTTAATTGAAATTAGATCTGCGTGTTACTTGAGTGTCAACGCAGCCCCTTTCCTGTGCAGGCAGAAGGCAGCAAGTGAGGTGGTGGCAATGTAGGGGGAGGGGAGGGCTGCCATGCTGCCCCACTCGGCTACATCTTCTAAGTGGGGGGCTGAGCCACCCTGGTGGGAGCGCACTCACCGGGGTGTTGGACTGCTCCGTCAGCTTTTGCTCCCACATCTTCAGACGTCTTTCCCTTTCTTTGAGTTCCTGCTCTTTACAGCTGAGGTCCCGTTCGAGTTTCTTCAGCCTCTCAAGAGTTGCCTCGATTTCGCACCTGCACAGGGATGACTGGTTTAAGTCTCAGCGTTGCTCAAGAGTTAGTAAACGCTTAGTGGTTCATCAGAATGCTTAAGCAGTGTAAAAGGCTAACATTTGTGCTTTTATTTTTCACCAGTTTTATTGAGATATGATGGACCTACATCACTGTGGAAGTTTAAGGTGTACAGCGTACTAATTTGAGTTACGCATACTGTGAAATGATGACCACTATAAATTTCGTTAGCATCTATCATCTCATACGGAGAAAGCAAAAAAAGAAAAAAAAATTTTTCTTGTGCTGAGAATTCTAAGATTGACTCTCTAAACAACGTTAGACTATAGTCACCGTGCTATACGTTACATTTCTTGGACTTGTGTATCTTGTACCTAGAAGTTTATGCCTTTTGACCACCTTCCTCCTATATGCCCTCCCCCGCAAACTCTGGTAACCGTAAATCTGATCCTTTTTCTCTGTGAGGTTGGGAAAACTTGTGCTTCTAAACCAAACAGTAAACTATCAAAGAAGAAAATCTGTCATATCCTGCAAAATCAACAGGTAGTTTCTAGTTTAGGAAAAGAAGTTCAAAATACTTCTTTAAAATCACTTCTTTAACGAAGCACTGAAGACCCACTGGGGTAGAGCCTGAGCTATGGAGCTGCATCCTGGTTTAGCTATTTAGTGAATGCTGACATTCAAGTAGCCCTTTACAGTTTAGAAAGCACTGTTACACAGTATCTCATCTTACTCTTGTAACAGCCCCCAGAAACAGATACTAATCCCATACAGATGGGGAAAATGATATTCAGGTTAGGTGATCCACACCACATCACCAGTAAACTCATGTTCGCTTATTCCCTAGCTGGGTGCCTCAGTCAACTGATTAACTGACCCAGTTTCCTCAGCTCTAGGGGGTGATGATGATCTTACATCAGGGTCCTCCCTTGCTTGATCCTAATAACTACTTGGGCAGCTTGTTAACAAATATACAATAAAACACAGATTCCCAGGACCCTTCTTTAGGGCTCATGATTCATTAGGGCTGGGTGGGGCCTTAGGAATTTCCATTATTTAATAAAAGACCCAGGTGACTTTTATAATCAGGCAAGTGTGGGCCAGATGAACTCTTAAGATTCTTTTCGAAGTCTAATCATTTTTTTGGGAAGTTCCCTCCTTAGTCTCAATAGGCCGACCAAGCTCACCCCTTGGAAATTGTCCAGTTCTAGGAGCCTGTCCTTTGTAGAAAGTGAATTGTTGACTTCGCTCAACACAAGCTGTCTTCTTCCTTCAAGGCTGTCACAGGGTGTAAGTCTCAGTTATGCTCTGAGAGCTGGAAGTGCCTTCCCTTGGGTTTCTTAAAGGCCTGGAAGCAGCTGATGGCTGGAGGTTAACTACGTGCTGCTTCTGGGTGCCACTGAGCCAGACCTGCTGTACCCATGGCATGAGGCTGGTTGGGACCCTGACTATGGAAGGTACTGGCCCAGACCTAAGTTAATGGGTGTGTGTAACCCAAATCTGCCTTTTTAGCTCCAGGGAAAATTAGAATACACGGCCATCTTATTCCAGTGCCCTTGTGGATGAGAACTAAATGAAAACAAAAATGCTGTGGGCGTTAACTGGCAACATCCAAGACAGGGAGCAGCTACTGAGGGAGGTCTGGATCTCGGCCCGGCACTTTGCTTCCCTGGCTGTTTTAAAGGTACACCTCGGAGCCAGGGAGGTAGCAAGTGAGTGTAAAAGCATCTGCTGTCAGCGCTCCAGCCCTTTTCCTGGTGCCATTTGAAAATAATAGAACGATAGAGTCACACTACATACCCTAAAGAAAGGCACTAAGTCAGCAATCTTTCAGAATCATGACTGTCATAAAATCCAGATCATATATTTCTGGGTATTTCTGACAAGAGTATTGTGCCATTCAGAGATGAGTTTGCGTTTACTTTCCAAATGGAGGACTGAAGGGGTAAAAATCACTGGAAAACCTTAGGTGAAACTTTTATAATGAAGGAAGGAAGGACCAGCCACCCTGGGAAACGAAGGGGGTCAGTGGGTGATGGAAGGAGGCAGCAGAGCCCGGCACGCTCTGGGGCAGACGGCCGGGGCCTGGGGCTGCGGTATGCTCGGTGCTTCTGCCCCGCCACCTGCACCCCTGCCAGAGAGACGGAGCATGCCCAGACTCTGTTTGGTCAGGGTACACGGCCAGCACATTCAAGTTCCCTCGTAATTTAAGCCAAGTTTCAGCTCTGGGAGCCGACTGTGATTTTGAGCCCTTCTGGAAAACAGATCAACAGTTAAGTAAGCTGAAAGATGCGACACAGAAAACCAAACACTGAGTAAAATGTGCTTCCTCAACCCATCTCCTCAGGCTCAGCACTTCCAGCTCTGCTCCCCCAGGTGCCCCGGGTCTGCAGGGAGTGCTGGATGCAACACAGACAGCTGCCCCCTCGCGGTTCCCCGTGTTGCCCATGCATTGTTTTGCATCAGAAGCATCTGTTGATGTACCTATATCACCTTCCTGTTCGATAAATAAAAGTGTTTTAAAAAAGTGTTTTAGTTGATGAAAATTATGGTTTTTTTCCTTAACCCAAATCCAACTAAGGTTGACTTCCCCTAGTATCAATTCTCCATATGCCAAAAACAGAGTGAACTGGAATTCTCTTAAGGCCAATTTGCAAAAAAAAACAGCCATATTATACATGATAAATAGGTAATATGTATAGTAATGTTATATATTAAATGATTGGTGCTAATATCCAAATTGCAAAGATTACATTTTTTGATCTGTTTTTTGTTTTTAATAAGGCATGCCACAGCGAGAGTATTCTGATCACCAAGGAGGAATACAACCAGCAAAGTATTCTGCCAAGAGGCCCAGGTCCGAACACGCCATCCCAGCACCACAAAGCTTGCTCAGTGTGGATTACCACAGGTCTGGAGACAGTCACATGGGGCAATGAAAATTGCAAACATGACCAACAGGGTGACACATTTCCTGTTCTTAATACTCACTGCTATTATTGCTAATAAGTCAATAAAAGGAGAGACAAGCTAAAGATATGATGAACAAGGAAATGCCTGACAGATTTCTTTCCTATCATCTAATAGGTCAAAGGAAAAAACATGGTTTATGTGGTTTTTAATAACCTAGTTTTAAAAACAATTTTAAGAATCATCATTTAATTCTCTCAAACAGGATGTTTCATTGGGTCTATGTATAAGAAAGCTCTACCAGAAAACAAGCGTTTGCCAGAAACACCAGATTTCCTACACATGCTTTTGACCCTAGTCACGTGGTTTCAGACACCAGACAAAAGGGAACAGTCTGAATGTGTTATTCTTAGAAATATCCAGATGATCTGACAAAGCATTTAATTCTTTCTGGTATGTGGCATAGACTGGGATAGTTTTGTCTTAATCATAACCTAAAATAATCATGCTCTGTAGTATTTCTCTTTGCGCAAAGGAATCAAGTCAAGTGAACTCTGCGTGCTAATGAGTGGAAGACTTGGCACTGGCCATGGGGGTCCAGGAACAGCACTGCATAGACTGTGTGCCCCGGCAGGCCTGTGGGACCAGACCACGTGGGTTCTAGCACTGGCTCTGTCTTACACGGTGTGATCTGGGACAGGTGACCCAACCTGTCCAGGCCTCAGATTTTACATCTGTGATAAAAGTTAGGATGGCCATGTGGATTAAAACAAGATGATCCAGATAAAGTACAAGCGTCTGGTAAAAATATAATGAATGACAGCTGTGTGTACTGACTCTAATTAACATTATCATTACTACCCCCTATGTTTTTAACCTGTTGCCAAGTTCAGTTAAAACAGCTCTACGACTTCTCAGACTGCTTTAGTGGTTCAGGTAAAGATAGGTAACCTTTCTCTCACCAGCCCTCAGGATTAATTAGTTCCTGAAGGACAGCCAAGGAAGAAGCCAGCTAGGCAACTGCTTGCTTTTTACTAAAACACATTAATGTATTACCAATGTTATTTTCCTCATTTTTTCATCGTGAAGCATTTAAAAAAATGTACTATTCAACTATCTAGGTTTGCAGGACATAAAGATATCCAAAGAGAAACCACTCTCTCATAATTTCATTATCCAATGGTAACACTGGCCTTTTGATACTTTTCTCTATGTGCACACAGCATATACACATAAATATGTCTATTTTACAAAAAAACAGAATCATTCCAGTCATACTGGACCCTAGCGCCTCTATTTTTAAATCATCTGTCAGATCTGTTATATCATGAATGGCTCCATCTATTCTGTATATGGAGATATCATCAGTTTTTAAAACCATAAAAACCACAAAACCCCAAAAATCTCTTTATTGCACTTTATGCCATTCTGGTTTGCAATTCTAAATGACGCTGTGCTTACAAGCAGGTGTCCATACATTCTTGCACAACCTTTCCATTTATTTTCTTAGAGATAAAATGGTAGTGGTGGAGGGGTCTGAAAGGTAGTATTTTCACCAGCAACATACTAGAAAGTTTATAATGCTGGATATTTTCATAATGTAAAACTTTGCCAATCTGGTAAATGAATTATGTTCCCTTATAGTTACCTGACTGGTAAGTGAGGTTAACTATTTTTCATATATTTATTGGCCATTTGATTTCTCCTTTTGTGAAATGCCTTTCATGTCCTTTAAAATGAGATTATAATTAAAATATTATTTTAAAGACAGTAACTCTGTCTGCTACAGCGGTTTTCAAAGTGTGATCTGGGGACCCATCAGAGGTTTTCAAACGATTTAAGAGGTTAAACTGGTTTTCAGAATAACATTAAGACATGATTTGCCTTTTCTACTCTCATTCTCTCACGAGTGTATGGACTTTTCCAGAGGCTTCATGATAGGTGGCAAAGCCACAGGCTGAATGTAGAGGCAGGATTTATTGTTTCTTAAATGAATCAATAACTACATATTTACATTTTTTTCTCCATTCTCATTTTGAGTGTGGTAAATATTGACAGATGTAACTCACTGAAACAAAATCTCTTTCTTTGTAGTCCTCAATAATTTTTTAGAGTATAATGGAGTCCTGAGACCAAAAACTTAGACCTGCTGAGCTATTATATAGGGGGGGAGAATGGCTGGATCGCAGTATGGCCTTTGTCTTGGAAGTTCATAATGAGTATTGTTTTTGGCCATATGGAGCTTTTACATTTTTATATCGAAAACTTACCAACTCCCTCCCTATATTCTGATATATAGTATCTGAGATACTGTATCTCAAGGGTATCAATAGTGTTAAAATCCCACTGATCTTTTGGAGAACAGATCAAACAGCATCTCCTCAGGAAATCCTTTTAATACCTTGTCAGACAGACTAGATTAGATTTCATGGTTGTATAGTCTCACATGTCCAGTACTTCTCTGTCATCATACTTATCAAAATAGTCATAAAAAGTTACTTGTATATTTATATTTAGTAGTTTAACATTAGACACTCCAGTCCATGTGCATTGGGGCTGTTCTGCTCATCACCACAGCACAAGAGCACCTTGCCCCACAAGAGATTCAGGGACTATCTGAATGAATGAATGTCAGAAGCACACTTGTCATAGTCAACAAATTAGCTTACATGTTTATATTCCCTTGTGTAATACCGTAATGTCTTTTAATATTAACTACCACCATGGTGTTTCCTTCCTCTAGTATTTATTGAGCCACTGCTATGTTCAAGGCACATTCTAGATGCTGCAGGTATAGTAATGAACAAAAGAAATCATCTGACCCGTTTACATTTCAACCAGCGAGACACAGATGAAACAACAAACGACAGAATTGCTTATTCATTCCAACAGCAGTCGTGGCTATGAAGGAAGGAGATGCTCTTAAGGCACATAAAGTAGAACCTCATCTATCTAGGGTCAGAAACATTTCCCGAAAGACATGTTATTTCAGTTGCTATCTGAATGGTGAATAGGAGCCAAGCTGGATGTGGGTGTCAGGGGTGGTACGCCACTGAAAGGGATGAATATTATACAGAAGAAACTGCATTTGCAAGGACTCTGAACGAGGAAGAAATATGCATCTGTTGAGGGACCAGAAGCCAGAAATTATGAGGCAGAACTATGCTCCTCAGGTCAGACTGCTGAGCTCAAAGCACAAAGGGTCTCATGAGTCTCGTGAAGCGTTGGCCTTTGTACTAGAGTAATCCCCTACGTGGATTTAAAAGCAGGGTCATCTGATTAGATTTGCACTGATCTTGTAGGAAAGAACATTATTACATATTTTGTTAAATTATTTAAGTCCAAAACAAAACCCGTCATACCTACACTCAAGCAGACGGTATGACTTTTGTTTCCCTAAATAAAAATCCATTTAACTCACTGGCCCTGGATAGAGTTCAAAAGAATAAAAATAAATAAGGTTATTGTAAAACACAATCAAACAGAAAGCCCAAGGAAACGTCTGATCACAGGAGTAAACAATGCCATCGTTTTCAGACTGCATGCAGTATTCCCTGGGCATCAGCAGGTGGCGTAAGGCGTCGCGTTACCACCGCGCCTCTCAGAAGCGGAGATAAGTTACTTAAATCTCTGCTGAGTCAGGAAGGAATAATGTCAGCTCCCAAACATGCTATTTATATTGCTGCAGCATGTGACCCGGCTCAACTCTCTCATCCCAGGCTTGCTTCTTCCACTCACACAATACAATTCTCTCATTACTAAGTTTGTTTTACACTTGACAAAATTTAATAGGATTTATAACATCAAAAGTTTTCTTTTTAAAAGTGTTTTTATAGTCTCCCTACCCCCTCCATCAACAGATACAGTACTCTGCAAATCCCTAGGCAAACAGTATTTTTATCTCTCACTGGACAGATGCCAAGGCTTCCTAACACAGAGCGTGTAGTACAGAGAAATGTCTGGTAACCATCTTTTGTCTCAGAAGATTCTTTCCAAATACTTAGATATATGATAAGGCAACAAGCTTAGAGGATTGCTTTTTTGTTTACATATGAAAGGGGGGACTTATTAGATGTCCAAAAAAATTTAACATAAACAACAAACAAAATGCTAAGTTATGCTTAGAAGTCAGGACTGTCCTCAAGTTCAATGGTTCTCTTCTTCAGTGAAGCTGGTCACGGTCTTTCAAAGCAAGAGGCCATGACTTGGTACAAAGCTTACTTACCTCCACTCTGCCTTGTTGTGCAGGAATGAGTTACACTGGTCGGGAAGGTTAGTGTCGTTTGACATGGACTCCAGAATTGAAATGATTTGCTTAAAAGATGGCCGTTTCTGAGGAAGAGAAAATAATCACTTGTTGGGCCTGAGGAAAGCAAGTCTTGAAGAGAAAATCCACAAGCACAGCAATAAGCTAGACGCACCACAACAAAATAAAACGGCATGCAACGTCCTGAGTTATTTTACAACTGTCAGACTGCTCAGGTTGAAGGGGACCATATTCCTTATTTTCAATACATTATTTGTAAGAACAGAGTCAGATGTCATTTTTCTATCATGTGGCCTAAGGTTGGAATAATTACAGTTTTTCTCCAGGTAAGGAAAGTACGAATTCTCTCTCATGTCTGATTAAGGACTCCTAAAAGGGAAAAGGCAAGTCCTTTAAAAACCTATGGGATATAGGCAAGTTTAGGAAAAGTTAACCGTAGAATCTGGGTGGTAAATGTACCGGTCTTCACTGTTAAGATTCTTTCACCTTTTCTGTAGGTTTCAAATTCTTATAATAAAATGTTGGGGAAAACCCTAGTTAATCTATGAGAACTAATACAATTTCCTCAACCACTTGCTCAGAGAAAAATTCCCCAATTTTCAAGCCATCTTAACTTCATTGTTCTCAATGTTTATTCCACATCATAACCCGTTTGGAGCTGGGAAACTCGAAGGTGCTGTTTATTAGAAATTGAAAAAGCAGCGGTTAGGTGCATTTCTTCAGCTAGTGGTAACTGTACTTGTTTCTTTAGACTCTAGCCAAGGCTGAGACAAAAGGTTAAAACAAAAATGGAAGAAAGATAATAAAAGGATGATGCACATTCTCTCTTCATCATGCCTCATAATTATACCATTTCTGAGCAAATTACAGTTGCAGCAATTAAAACATGCATTTTAATTTAGGAGCACAAAACAAGAAGGAACAATGTTGAGGTGGCTTGCTCTCAGGACTTGAGTACTTCCTACATTAAGAGAGACAATTTTCCCATTTCTCAGGAATATAAATATAAAACTGGGATATTTATTCCGAGTTCTGCCTTTATTGCACTCTTAAGGGAATGTGTGCCTGTGTGTGTTTTACATAGAGGGCGTAAGTATCTGATCCACATTAAAGCCTTTTAATAAGAAAAGAAGTAAATGCCTCAAGTAGGAAATTTGAAAAATATTTTGTCTTCTTTTAACTTTATTCCCATTTAATTCCTCCTACTGTGTGTCACTGTGTGAAAGGAAAAATGTTTGAGCTGTTTGCACAGGAATTAATTATACAATAAATATAGAATTTTCATTTTGCATGGAAAAGCAACAGGAGAGGCTAATGAATTTTTAAAGAATATTTTCCCTACATTTAATCATTCTTGAAATAAAGTAAAACTCTTGAAATTAGGTGACAAGTATCCCTAGAAAAACCTTAATTTTATAGGTAGAATATACTCTCAGATGGAAATTATCAAAGTGAACATTTTAAAAACAACAACAATGTAGAATTTTGTGGTAATGATATTTTATGAATACTCAGGTTGCAGAATACAATATTTGGTCCAGGAGGTTCCTTTTAGTATTACATAGGTTTTGTTCACATTAAAAAAATTATAACTAGGGCCATCTATTAAGCATCTATATACATTATTTGTTATCTTCTTTTTATAGATAAGAAAAATCCATCTCAGAAAAGTATGGATTGCCCAGTATCACACAGGAAGCAAGTTTCTGAATCAGGGGCAAGGCTCTGAAACCCTTCAACGTGTTTTATCACATGAGGGTAAGATGTTACTTCCTATCAAACTCAGGGCTTCTTTTTCCTATTTAGAAATGCCATTTTAGAACTGGAAACAATACCCACCTTTACTTCCTTTTTCTCTTTGATAAAACACTTTGAGCACCTGGTGTAAGCCACTGGCATGACCTGACATTTACCCAACACCAGCTTTCTTGTATTCCCTTCCCCCTCCTCACTGCAAGAGAACATTTTTCTACAGGTGAGCTGAGTATTTTCATCTATGTCTTTAAAGCATAAGGGCTAGGGGGAATAAAAGTGTTTAGCCAATGATAGCTCTCTCTGTACGCACAGGAGTGGCATCCACAAGTGCCTGAACTGCTCCATAATTAACAGCCAGAGAACTAAAATGTGCCTTGGTCCGGCTACTCTGGTCAACACACTGGGCCTCTACTTACTACGCGTGTGTGAGGTGCTAAAAGCAGCTTCGTTCCCTCAAAGAGACTGCAATCCGTGTAGGAAGAGAGATTTAAAAAATACAACCACACAGGGTAAGGCAGTAGCCCGGACTGTGGTTTAGGAAAAGGAGGACTAAGTATGGGCTGGGGTAAATAGAATAGCCAGGGAAGGCGGGCCAGCAAAGTCCTCAAGGAGGAAAGAAAAGAAGACGGCATGCCCAGGGAAGGAAGGTGTGTAAGGCCCGACTGGAGATGCCACAGAGAGCGCTGGCAGTGTGGTGTGTATACTTAAATACAGGGGGGCTGTATTAATTGTATCAGAATAAAATGCCTTCAATTTAGGAAGTAAAGATCAATCTTAAACTTTCTTTATACTTCACCTGGCTAGAACACAAGATGCCGCTCGTCCTAAAGAAGGATAAACTTGCTGCATGTTAAAGACATGCCAGCTTCATAGCATCAACACCAGGCCTAATGTCCTTCCTGTGTTAGGTGTTTACACTATTATTTAATTAATGCACCATAAATGTATATTCTTAGAATTTTAATGAAGTACAGAGTTTCCGATAAAGAAATTCAAAACCTGCTTTGCATACTGAAATATAACTGCAATTATAGAGAATCTAGTTGCAATAATCTAATTCAATGCAAATAATTTCAGGTGAAATTTTTACTTAAGTAGCAGAAAAATACTGCCAAAATGACTATATATGTCACAATGGACACAGAACTGGTAGAAAGAGTATGGAGAAGGTAGTACCATAGCATTTTAAAAATACAAATGTTCTAGAGCAAGCCTGCAAACAGCTGAGTGTATTTTCTGCTGGATTAGCTACAAAGGGCAGGCATTCCTCTTAATGCTTAAAAACCCCATATTCTGCAAATCACACACTAAAATAATAGGACCTAGGGGTGCCTGGGTGGATCAGTGAGTTTAGTGGCTGCCTTCGGCTCGGGTCATGATCCTGGGGTCCTGGGATTGAGCCCTGCCCAGCTCTCTGCTGTCGGAGAGCCTGCTTCTCCCTCTCCCTCTGCCTGCCACTCTGCCTGCTTATGCTATCTATCCTGTCAAATAAAACCTTAAAAAAAAAAAAAACTTTAAAAAAATAAAATAATAGGACCTAGGGGTGCCTGGGTGGCTCAGTCGTTAAGCATCTGCCTTCGGCTCAGGTCATGATCCCAGGGGCCTGGGATCGAGCCCCACATCGGGCTCCCTGCTCAGCGGGAAGCCTGCTTCTCCCTCTCCCACTCCCCCTGCTTGTGTTCCCACTCTCGCTGTGCCTCTCTCTGTCAAATAAATAAATAAAATCTTTAAAAAATAAATAAAATAATAGGACCTAAACAGAGGCAGGGCAGACCATGCCATAACTATGCAACTTTGTCATGGAATGCTAATAAAAACAGTAATACTAAATAAAAACACTAACAATTTAAAATGTTAAATTCTTTTTATTTTAAAAGATTTTATTTATTTGAGAGAGAGAGAGAGTGAGAGACAGAGAGCACGAGAGGGAAGAGGGTCAGAGGGAGAAGCAGCCTCCCCGCTGAGCAGGGGATGCGGGACCCGATCCCGGGACTCCAGGATCATGACCTGAGCCGAAGGCAGTCGCTCAACCAACTGAGCCACCCAGGCGCCCAAAAATGTTAAATTCTTTAATAAAAAACAATACTAAGTAAATATAAGACTCCCCTTTAAAAAAAAAAGGGTGAAGGTAGTTTGATGAACAGGAGTGAAAGCAAAGATTAAGGCTGCTGGTTTTCAGGTCAAAGGTGAAATGTGCAAATCTGGGAAGCCCCCACAACAAACTCCTCCGAGACAAGGCACAGGCCGGGCCAGCCCAGCCAGCAGAGAGCACACTGGGCCGAGGCCTCACAGATCCGCGTGCCCGGCTGCTCTATCGGCCGCACTACTGTACAAACTACTGTACTTGGCGTTGAGCTGTTCTCACGTGGGGGGGGGGGCGGAACCACGTGCTACGTCACGCGTGTGATTCGGGGCGGTGAGTACTCAAACTCACCGGTTGTTGTGCATCCTCCCCACCAGAGAAAGATGCTGTGTGTTACCCGCATGCATTCTTCCTGGGGGCCAGATTGGAACTGGGTTTAAATTAAGGAAGAAATTCCATTCCTAAGTCTTTGTTTTTAGATCTCTATTTAAAAAATCAGTTTGCAATATATCTAGTTCCATGAAAGAGTGGACAAATTTGAACTATAAAATTATAGTTCCTTTCTTGGGTCTGTCTCTTCTTTCAGTGTTTAATCTGTGAGGGTCTTTTTTCACTTTCTAACTTTTTATTATGAAAAATTTCAAACATAAACAAATGTAGAAAGAACAGTGTAATTAACCTCCATATAGGTGAGTGTCTCAGGCGGTAAACGGGGCACTGAGGGGTAATCCGGTGTAACCCACGACTGGGTGCCAGCCGCGTGCTCCCCTGCCCACCCCCCGCATCGTACCCATGCCTCGCAAAATCGAGGAAATCAAGGACTTTGTGCACACAGCCAGGCGAAAGGACACCAAATCCGTCAAGATCAAGAAAAATAAGGATAATGTGAAGTTTAAAGCTCAGGGCAGCAGATACCTTTACACCTTGGTCATCACGGACAAGGAGAAGGCAGAGAAACTGAAGCAGTCCCTGCCCCCAGGTTGGCAGTGAAGGAGCTGAAGTGAACCCAGCCCATTGATTTGAACTGAAAGTTTTAAAAATTCTTAGGAAAAAAAAATGAACCTCCATATACTTATCACTTGGCTTCAAAAATTATCGTGGCCAATCTTGTTTAATCTACACCACCATCTATTTCCTTTCATTTTATTTTGAAGTAAATCCAAGATTCGCCCATTTTATTCATAAATAATTCTGTATAAATGTGTCTTTTAAAATGATCTTTGCAGGGAAAGGCAATGGGCCTTCATGCTCAGATGTGCTAACCACAGGAAAGTCTACATTTTGGAATGTCTCCAACTCTGTTGTGATGGCTTCAAAACATCATGAATCCGGACAAGGAGTATCTATCAAGTTTCTCTAGAAGTGCTACTCTGGGGGCACCTGGGTGGCTCAGTCGTTAAGCCTCTGCCTTTGGCTCAGGTCATGATCCCAGGGTCCTAGGATCGAGCCCCTCACTGGGAAGCCTGCTTCTCCCTTCCCACTCCCCCTGCTTGTGTGCCCTCTCTCGCTGTGTCTCTGTCAAATAAATAAATAAAATCTAAAAAAGAAAAAAAAAAAAAAAACAGAAGTGCTACTCTGGCCTGGTCTTTGGTTCAGACCGCTTGGGCTAATTCTCCAGTCTCACCATGTACTAGCCGTGGCCTTGAGCATTACTTAACTTCTGTATGCCTTGATTCTTCATCTGGAAAATGGGTGGAATAACACAACTTACGTCATAGAGCTATTCTGAGGAATAAATGAGCTAATATACATAAAGTGCTTGGAATAGTGCCTGGCACAGAATAAGCACTGTATGCTGGCCATTTTTAGAACACAAAGGTGCAACAGTTCTTATTAAAGATTAAAAACAAAGGAATGCAATTCTTTCTGTTGAATCAAGAGTGCCAGAGGGGCTGTAAGAAAGAGCCAGTAATGAATTTCTAAGGATCAAGACAAGCAGATAGCAACAGAAAGCCTTAATAGTCCATCTGGGGCTCACAGGAACAGCAATCCAGCTTTACTTTATAATGACTCTCATTACCCCAAGTTTTAAAAACTCAAAGCCAAACAAACAAGTGAAATTTCAGAATTCTGAAAGACGACCAAAAAAAAAAAACAACAACAACTGACTTACATACCTTGGCATCAGCTTCCCAACACTGACGTAACAGCTCAGCAAAACTTCTGGGGCAGCTGCTTGGAATGGTTAATCTCTACCACAGAGATGGAAAGACAACACAAGGATTTACTCATGAAGGTAAGCAGATACTCACTGAAAGTTCATAAAAGAGTTACATTTAGAGCACAAACAAGTCATTAAATTTGAAGCTTCCATTGATTGATAGATGGCAGATGAGAATTTATGTTTAGGTACATTGTATCTCTAAAGAGACTTTTAATACTGTTCTTCCAAAAAGGCATCCCAGTGGATGGAGAAGTCCGGTTCCGCACAACAAATACAATGAAACATAGACTCAAGTCTAAAGGAAACTACAGGAGAAGGGCAAGGCCTAAAACCACAAATCTTTGCACAGGCGGCTATGAAATAGGAACACAGCCCAGGCAGCTAGGAAAGCAGCTCATCTGTGGCGGTAGGCGTGACACCTCTGGAAACGTCTTTAGCACACACCATCCCAGAGATCATTTGAAAGAAGTGTGCCTCTTCTCGTTGGCCAATAAGAGATTCTGGACATATGACTCATTATGGCTAAAGCACAAGGGCTGGATACAACAAAGATTACACTGTGAGCATCTGTCCTGTGCCAACATTTTACAGAAGTGCTTCTCTAGAACTTGCCATGCCCCTGGAGGCTCTTTAGATATCTATGGAGGCATTTTTGTTTTAAAAACTGGAGAGTTGCACCTGGAGTGGGTCAAGAATGTTGGATATCCTTCACTATGTTGTAAATCCCTAAGTACTCCCTTGCACTCCACCAAACTTCAGATGCCCCATGTGCAATCAAACAACAAGGTTTAATCATTTTTCTGGCTCTAGACTCTCTCTTTGATTTACAATAAACACAAAGTATATTTTGAGCAGATTTAAAATACAACGAACTAAGAATGCAACTACCAAATAAAATAAATCAAGGGCAGATTGATCTTTGCATTATTCATAACCTTACCAAGATTTTTGGAAAATGTCACCTACAACAGCATTGCTTATGCTGCTGGAATCATTGATACAATTCAACTACATTCTGCATTTGTAGCTGTTGAATCCTATTTATCCATAGGTATAAGCTCTGAAACTATTCCATTTTCTCCTTTCCTGCAGTCACGCCTGCACATTTATACACCGTAATACGTATTTATTTCTTCTGTATACTACGATGAGAGCATTATGTTGACTTTAAAAGTACAATGTGTGTGGGTAGGTTGTACTACATCTGAATTTCATTTCCAGCAAGTAGAGGGAGCATGAAAAGAGTTGTTATCAAGAGAGGCCTGGGTGTGACAGCTGAGAACCACCGCACTAAGAAGTACTAAGATGATTTATTATGCAGTATTGTTTACCAAAGAAGTTTTGCAAATAAAAAACTGAAACTGAACTTAGTTGGATTTGGGGGAGGCTATGCATAAAAGTAGAAAAAGAGTTGCCCTGGCAAAAAAACAGATGGGGATCTGTATTTAGAATTACAATAACCTTAAAATCAAAATAAACTAAAATATATAAAACCTGAAAGCTTTAAACAAAACAGCCCTCGCCAAATTAAAGGCTATGCTAAACATTTTTTTAACTGATTACATAGAATGGAGGAGATCTGGTAAACTGTACTCTTACTCTAATGTGAACTGGAAACCTTTTGATGAAGATCAAAAGGAAAATCAGGTGTTTATTTTTTAAAAATATTTGGCAACTAAGAGAAACAAAGTGATTGCAATTACTCAGCTGAATGTATCCCATGGCAAAGTAATTTCTCATAAAAGGGAACATTTTCAATGTAACTTTTTCACATTTTTCTAAGAACTGAAATGTGACCTGGATGAATATGGATGGATGTTAATCTTTTCTATCATCTTTTCTTACTGAGAAACTTTTTAGCTACCTCATCTGAGACATTATGAAAGAAGACATAATTATTTTAGATCATCTCATATGGTCAAATATCAGTTAAATCTAGACTCAGACACTAATGTAAGGGTTTATTTTGGTTTATTAAAAAGTACTTTAAAAGAAAATCCTAAGTATTTAAGTCCTGTTTACAGAACTGTGGGCATTCCTAATGCATTAAAACATCCCGAAATAACCAGATATTAGCAACAGATTTAGCCGCACTACTTCAAACTTAAATATTTTAAAAGTTCCAAATTTAAAATGAAAATATTTCCCAACCACTAAATTAGGCATGACATTTTTTAAAGAGCATATTCTTTTTCTGCACCATTTTCTTTAAGATGCAAAAAATTACTTTTTGTCAATTATTTTTTATTATCTTTTTTCCAAAATGTAGTCAACAATGCACTGAGGATTTCTGTTAATAGTTTGGGGCGCCTATTAAGAATACTTAAGTTAAGTGACTGAAAATGCCCAGGTCATAATCTCAGAGCCAAAAGAGGGAGCCTGCTTAGGATTCTCTCTCTCCCTCTGCTCCTCCCCCCTACTCACGTATATGTGTGCCTGTGCACTCTCTAAAGGAAAAAAATTGTTTTGCTACTTAGAACAAAACATATTTTATGAGAATCTAAGTACTTGTAATGATAGAAATTATACTGTCAGAATATTCTGAATGACCACTAATTCAGTTTTATAGAAATTACAAAGACAAACATACATGTCTATAAAAATTACAAAATTTATTAGTAATACCCTCCTAATTTCATGACTTCTGTAAGGGTTCAGTCTTTAACAGTGCTTTATGTATCTAGTTTTAATAGGATTTAATATTAGGAAAAATTATTGTTTGAAGGCCTTATTTCATTATTAAGCATTTAGAAGCAAACATCTTCAGATATTTTTAGAACGTATTGATTTTCCTATAGATCCAAAAGCAATCTAAATGGTGAAACTGAATAAGGTCTAGAGTCTAGTTAAGAGTAATGTATCAATGTCAACGTTCTGGTTTTGGTATTGGCCTATACCTGTATCTCTCCAGTGGGGGAAGCTGGATGAAGGATACACAGAATCCTTTCTAATATTGTTGCAAATTCCTGTTAGTCTATAATTATTTCAAAATAAAAAGTTAAAAAGAAAAGGTAACTCTAATATTTGGATATAGGTGCATTCTAGGGTGACTGGCTTACATTTAAAATGTCTCCCTAGGTTTAAACACATCATTCTTTATTTAAATGAGGCCTGTTAAAAAAAAAAAAAAATACAGCTTGCTCTTTTCAACTCAAGAACCCAAGGTATTCCAAAGTAAAAATAAATGAAATAATTGGAAGTTGAAAGAATTTTGTAAATTATTTTTAAGTCAAAGTCTCAATTTTATTATGAAATGAAATAAATCCTTGGCCATTTTTTCCAAGTTTTTATTTAAATTCCAGTTAGTTAATATACAGCATAATATTAGTTTCAAGTGTACAATATAGCGATTCAACACTTACATATAACACCCCGTGCTCATCAGAACAAGTGCCCTCCTTAGTACTCATCATCCCTTTAGCCCATCCCCCACCCACCTCCCCTCTAGCAACCCCTTCAGTTTGTTCTATATAGTTGAGACTTGGCAATTCTTTTAATGTTATGTCAACAGAATTTGTTTTGGTAATATATGTCTACATTTATGAGATGAAATGAAGACTCCTTTGTGAATGATGACAATGGAAAGGACAGTTAAACTTAATTTCCATATTTTTGACAAATATTGTGCAGAGAGTAGACAGGTAAGTAGCCTTCAATACCCAATTTTCCTTAAGTTCAGTAGAAAGTTGAGAAAACTTGTTTCCACCATGTGGGGTTCCTTGAACTTGCTATTCTGCATACAGAAGGGGAGGTATCTGAGTGGTCTCCATTGGTTATTAGCGGACTATCAATCAGGTCACACCATGGATAAAACAGTACGTTCTACTCTAGGGAATCCCTGAGGAAGGGGGGGGGGGTGGCTGACAGCCTCCTCTGGTACATGTTCAAGAAGTTCTCAAGGTTATTTATGGGTGATTCCAGCCCTCAAGCCAGCTATCCAAAGGCAGCTTCTAAATTCATTTTTCTTGTCTGCTTTAATCATCCTTGATGGATACTCATGTTTTGAAAGTGCTTTAGATGCACACCTCTTCTGCCATCCTTTAGATGAAATATTATTTTAAAATATTGTTTTTTCTTATACGTATTTGGAGGGTCCAGTCAGCTTTTAAAACACTTTCTTCTAATTTTTCTTGGAACAATGTAGAGGGAAAAAAGTTACATTGAGTATTCCACTCCAAAGTCAACATTAGGTCAATCATTTCCTTCACTCTCATTTGTAAACCCAGAACCAAACATCTAATCACCTCACTGGCAAGAGAAATAGAACAGAGACAAGCGGGTTCTCGTATCATGAAAATACCAGTTATCCTGTGTACAAGGGTCTGCTTTAATAGCACACCGGGAATAACCAGGACATTTAATTAAAACAGAACAGCTCCTGTGAAACACTGAGCAAGACACATTCTTGAATATAACTCCTTTTGCTTTTTCTTAAATTGGCAGCTCTCTCCCATCAAGTTCAGCTATCATGAACATTTCATCTGTTCTCAATAGCTCAGGAGGACAAATTAATAAGGTAGCGGGATTATGTGATCTAAACTATGGAAACTTGGTTTCTCTTAGTCAGTAGCAGCTGTTTGGTTAATCTAGTCTGTTCCTGCACTCACATGGGGAGCAGATCAATCTAATTCTTTCATAGCATTAAAAAGGGCAGATCTCCACGTATTCACCTTTTTGCAAATTATTTTATCCTCAGGTTGCACTCTTACCTTCTGCGGAGGGCACAGATCAGATCTGGAAATGAAGCTCTGTGAAATAAGGTTGTTTTGCATTGCAAAGACAACTGCGTGCTTCCATTACCGGATCTAAGTTCTCATAGTACCTTGATACTGGATGCTTCATCCTTATGCTGAGGATTTCCATGCCTGTGCATTTCAGTCACAATTTTAAGCCTTTCAAAATGTAGTTGCTCTCTTTGATATGAATGTACCACGTTCTCTGATGTAGGCTCATAGGTCCAACTAACTGAAAGCCTCAATTTGTGGGAAGAAGAAAAGCGAGGCTGGGGACACAGCACAAACGGTGTTTACGCCACTGAAGTTCTTTTGAAATGGAAAGGCTCTGCATGAAGACGGGAACAGTTATGCCACTGCCTCGCCAATTCCAGTGAGGAGCTCATCTTCAATGTAGTGTTCAACGTAGGTGGCAAAACTGTAATTTTTCCCTTTTTTGAAACTATTTTTTCTTCTTTTATTTTTGAAATTCTCATCTAAGCGACAGTTTCTTGTACTATAGTGACTCCTGCTGGGAGAGGTAAGTTGAAGTAGCTGAAGGTCTCTTACAGATATATCAACTCCCGGCCAGTAAAAAAGATGTCCTAAACGCAGGAGATGGAGTTAAACTGTTCCCCTACCTTGGACGCAATGGCTTCTTTCATCACTAAGAACAAACCCCTAGGTTTTACAATTGAGACTGAGAAACTAGTACAGTACTTGTACAATTTTTGATCTACAGCATCACGACGTGAAGCTGCAACAATTAGATGTAAAGGGTCCATTCATGAGGAATAACATCACTTTGACCCTTTGTGTTAGCTCCTACTGCTAATCTTTCCATAAGCGTGAACTTACTTTCAATTTGAAGAAGATGAAAAAGTCTTTTGCAAAACCCCAATACTGTTTTCTGATCTATGTACCTGAATGGAGAATCGTAGTCTTACCTCGTTTTTTTCCACTACAAGCCAAGCTACTTGTAATCCTTCCAAACCTTTAAAGGGGACCTCCCTTGTTAGCATCTCCCAGAGAACCTGGAACAAAAAGAAAATGGAATTTTTATTCTTGTACTTTGTATTTTTGGTATATTACTGAAACTTTATCTAACACTTAACTGTATCCAATTACCAGACAAAACCAACCCCACCTGTAGAAACTTGGACAAAACATATATATTCATGCATAGGACTTCTTCCAAATATTATACACACACACACGCACGCACACATACATTCATTTTTTGTTCATTTTTATAAAGAAAAAAAATTAGTTTAGAAATCAGAACATTTAGAGCCAGACTTATGAAACCAGTGGGCCTACATAATTTATCTTGTAAGTTACTAGAATTCTCACAGATTCCCACAAATTAGGTTTTATATTTTGTTAGTCAAACTGCTTCTACCTTCAATCACCAATAAATTTCTCTATAAGATAATAACTGGGAATTCAACCGTATTTTTAAAGGATCAGTAATGGTCTGATAAAAAATACTGAGCCCTAAATCCAAATCACTGGCTAAACCATTCACCCCATAATGGTAGGTACTTGCAGAACTGTAACATTTAAATTTTGTGTTTTGGAGGAAGCTCTCTCAAAATGAGTTGGTCTAAGGGAGTCATTTTCTTCCACCTATAACATAATTTACTATCTGTTCTAAAATATAACAAACACTCTATGTTCATATATATAGGCTAGGTGTGTGTGTGTGTGGGGGGGAATGTATGTGTGTGTTCATCTCTCTGCAATCCTTGAGATCAGCACAATTAATAAATCTGCATGCCCAAAGAAAGCAAACTGATGCTAGGAATGCTGAAAACAGCCAATGATTTGGATTTCATTTAAAGTACTAAGTAATGGAGATTTTTATATTCAGGTAACCTTCTCGATTTATACAAATGGGCATCAAAATCTGAGTCTACCAATATTTTCTGAAGTGCAAAAACAATTATAATTTTATCAATAATCATAACAACGACTATCATTTACTGAGTGATTATGTTCCAGATACTTTCTTAAACTCTTTACAGGTGTTGTCATGATTAATATCAATCCCAGCGAATAGATATGATCCTCATTTTATAGATGAGGAAACTAAGGCTTCAGAAAGTTAAATAAACTTGCCCACAGACGCTCTGTTATCAAGTGGCAGAGCAAGAATATGAACTTGCTGCCTCACCCTAATGGTCAAGCTCTTAACCTGATGTAAGTCTAGAGAAGGGAGGCTGCAGTGAGAGAGAATGTGACGTGCCATATTTCAGGTGTGGAGCCATGGCAGAGGTGAGAAGCAAATGAATTCAGCAGTTTTGATTTAGATTGCTCTTGTTCTAAAAAAAAAAAAAAAAAAAAAAAACCCATTTCTAAATAAGAATGTAGATTGAGAACATGTACTCTATTCAAGCAGGTCCTACAAACCTTTAACTCTGTATCCACTGTTTCCTCAGCCAGTGCTCAGTCATATTCGAATCAGAACATGCTAAATGAACTCTGGCTAATTAGCAGGAAAATCAGGGAAATTGGCAGATGCTGCTCAAGCAGGAGAAAAAAAATTCACTGAAGCCTCTTTGGGCTTTTAATCAAGTGTGTAAGGTACTTCTTTAGAAGAGCTACTGAATAATTCTATTTGAGTCCCAGAAGTGATTAGGAAAAGGTAAGGGGTATCCCAGAAGGGGATGATTCTAGCAAGCACTGTAAGTAAAGGCAGCGTTTGAGGACCAGAACAGGTATGCAATCACCCCTGGGACCCTGCCTGCACAGGGGAGAGGGATGGAGCAGCGAGAGGGCTGAGCAGGAAATGAAGCCCCCCTCCATTGCGCCCAATTACCACTCCCCTGGTGCTGAGGTTGGGGAAGGAGAGGGGTATGCAGAGCAAGCAAACTGAGGAATTTGGCCTCCCTAAGGAGAAAGGGAACAGTGACTCAGCCTCAAATAAATCAAATGCTCCAGACCCCAAAATGTCCAGGGAGGTGGCCTCCAGCACCGCCCCCCAACACACAAACTTTCTGACCCGGGCCTGCACGCACAACCCACTGCGCAGGCGCACACACAAAGGCTGCCTGGGTTTTATGAGGTAAAATGCAAAACCAAGAGCTTGGGAAGTGATAGACAAAAAGATTTATGTCATTCTTTATTCTCAAATATTCAGTTGGAAAATATCCCAAATCTACTAAGGTCTGAGTTCTGTTTCCCTGGAAAAACAAGAGTTTCGTTTTAGTCCGTGTGTGGGTCTCGGGCGAGCCGCCACAGCTGAGGGGCCGTGTGCGGGCGGCGCACGTGCTGGGCCGGGGTGCGGAAGCGGCACAGGCGCCGCTGGGGCCCAAGTGAAGTCCCAGCGGAAGCGCAGCGCCAGCGCGCGCCGAGTCCCCGTTACCGGTCCCCCAGGTGCGGGAATGTGGCACAAAGCAGGCGGCATGAGACAGGACAACAGCGGTTTCTGCACTAAACACGATGGCACTCGGCACCCACAGTCCTTTGTGGAGGAAGTCATGCGAAGGTCTAAAAATATACTAAACTAGGCCTGAAAACATCAGTGACGGGGATGCAGGCCAAACATTATTGTGATCTTTCCCCTTAAAAATACTTTCCAACTCATTCTATCTTGAGACGTATTTACGTCTAAACTGTGCTCACAAGGAAAAATTTCTGTTCTCAGTTTGCAGAGAAACTTGGACAAGGCTGTGTACTTTTCTTGCCCTTTCTTTTACAAACAATGGCAAGCCATTACCTGAGCCCGGCTTGTTCTGGAACAGGGCTCACACACAAGCCACACACGGATGCTCACTCTTAAGCCACTCTCTTCAAACTGTGGTTCTGGCTCAGAAGCTTCTGGGAAGGTAATCCTTTCTGCATTGTCATTAGGACAGCTTTGTTTTTAAAGAGTGGCTAGGCCTTGTGTTCTCAGAAGGCTTGTTCTGTCAATGATTTTTGCTTTCCTTGAGTCTTGTCTTTTTTGTGGGTTAAGATACTAAACACTGCGCTGGTTCCGTCCTTCAAGAGAGATCACCCTAAAGGGCTAGCACAATCTCCTCTCTTGTAAAATGGAGAGAGAAACAACTGCCTGCCCAGCAAAGTTTATCAGCTTAGAAGCAAGGATCACAAGATCCACTTCTGGCATTCACAGCACATTTATTTTAAGGCTGGCCAAGGCTGGTCAGTCTTGCCATGAGTTAAGAAGCAACACAGGTTTATCAAGTTGCGGGGGCGAGGGACTTCGATAATACTAGGGACTAAATTCTTATAGCAAGTCTGAAAAAATAGAAAAATGAAAAGCAAAAATATATTAGGTATTTTTTGTGTGTGTGTGTTTTTTTTGAGGTGGGTTTCAAAAAAGGACCACTCTTTTTTAGGGTCTTATTCATCTGCTAGTGAGAAAGAGAAGAGAGTGAGAGAGAGAGAAAGTGTGTGTGTGTGTGTGTGTGTAGGCACAATGAACAGAATGGACTCTTCATGAACTATGGGATGTTTTATGCCAAGAGATACTGTACTGACAAATGGTCCTGGCTACTTACCTATTATTGAAAGGACATTAAAAATTCTAAATAACCACATTGCTTTCCCAGATGAGTATTATTTTCAGTCTTTGGACAACAAACTTCTAAAACTAATAACATGCCCCTACCTTAACAACCATTCTCTCCTGCTAATCTTTTAGGTAATACCTACTTTGACCATGCAATGCTTTCTGTATTTTTCAAAAATTTGTGATTGTTTAAAGAAAAAGCTCTGGAAAGCATGCCTTGTACTATTTCTTTCACTAAATGGTGTTTATCTAGGACATAATGGGAAGGGGTCAGTATTAAATAAAATCTTGAATTCTCATTTATAATTCAACTGGTTTACGTGCAACTTTCTATATAGGGCTTTTTTCTTTTTAAGATTTTATTTATTTATTGGACAGACAGACACAGCAACAGAGGGAACACAAGCAGGGGCAGAGGGAGAGGGAGAAGCAGGCTTCCTGCGGAGCAGGGAGCCCGATGCGGAGCTCGATCCCAGGACCCTGGGATCATGACCTGAGCTGAAGGCAGACGCTTAACGACTGAGCCACCCAGGCGTCCCTATGTGCAACTTTCTGAGTGAAACTCTGTTGATACAGCTATGGGTTGAGCATAACCAGAATTCCAAGTAAACCTTTCTCTTTAAGATACTGTTTTAAAACAAACAGAGTCACTGGAAAGGCATTTTTGTTTCCACCAGTCAAAAGAAGCCTCTAACATAACCACAGAAGCAGGTGACTGGGGCAGACAGGTCCCGCATGGCAGCATCCAGTGTGTAAATACCGAATGACACTGCAAATGTTCAGTGAGTGGCTATCGAGTTTGCGACAGTAAGTGAAACTACTTGATGGAATGATTTGTTAAGCATTTGTTAAATCCCTCAGAACAGAATGAAGGGTCGGTAAACAAGTCCAGAGAAAACCTCATTCACCAACAGAAATGTTCAGGCCCATCTACTAAGAGGTTGTGCACGCTCGAAAGAAAAGCTTCTTAATAATGTAAACAACATTTGCAGCCTTGGAAAGGTTGATTCAAACTATGTTTCACATGAAGGGGTCAATGAGGAATGACTGAAAGGGATTTAAAAAGATACAGAAGGGCGCCTGGGTGGCTCAGTTGGTTAAGCGACTGCCTTCGGCTCAGGTCATGATCCTGGAGTCCCGGGATCGAGTCCCGCATCGGGCTTCCCGCCCGGTGGGGAGTCTGCTTCTCCCTCTGACCCTCTCCCCTCTCATGCTCTCTATCTCATTCTCTCTCTCAAATAAATAAATAAAATCTTTAAAAAAAAAAAAAGATACAGGAAACATGGAAGTCACTAATATCTTTGATAGTTTGCCTGTGAAAATGAATTGGTCCTTGGTTATTGGGACTGAGATTCTACTCTGGTTCAGGAAACCCAGTGACGCCCCTGGGTTCAGTAAGGTTCAGGAAGGAAGCAGTGTGAGGTTTGTTTTCATAAGTGAGATAATACTGAAACCAAAAGTTCACTCTATCTGGAACCCATAGTTGTCTTTCAGATCAAACATTTCTGGGTTAGACAAAGTCCAAGACTTGGGGAGAATTTTCAAAGTACAAGTGCTACACCAGAGCTTGGGGAGTGCTAAAATGAGCCTCTAAAGTCTCCTAGTTCATATGCAAAAATAATTTAAAAACTATAACTGCCTAAATATGTGTGTGTGTATCTAAATGCACAGGCAAGTGAGGGTGTGAAAAGTGTGGTCTCTTGCTGACTCACTGTGACCCACTCCCGGCCCTGAGGCTTCCTTTCCCTCCCTCAGGCTCCACACAACTTTCTCTGTGGACTGAGCCCCGTTGTGGATGGAGTGCATAGTGGTTTTACCATTTGTAAAGGGTTGTAAAAAACAAATGAATACTCAATGGGGACTCCTAGTGAGCCTCAAGGTCTCAAATATTTACTCTCTGGTCCTTTACAGAAAAAGTTTGCTGGTTCCTGTTCCACAGGATAGAACACTGGTCCCAATGAGCAGGCAAAGTCCAATTTACATTACCCGAAGTTGGTGTCTAACACCGTGCCTGACACGATAAACACATTGTTGCTTAAAAATGAAGGAACATAACTTCCTAAGAGTCTTCCTAAAGTCTGAAATTGCAACAAATTCCCCCATTTTCAGACCTCCCCAGCAGGTGATTGGTAGGATGGTCAGAATGTAGTAACTTTTGACATAGGGAACCAGTTTTAGAATCCGGTCTCTTCAGGAACTTATGTTTCTTCCCCATCTTTCAATGAGACTTATTTGATCACTGTCTATAGTAGTTTATAGTCTTCAGTCTTAGAAATACCCAGAATTAAGGGAAATGAGATATTTAGCCTGAAGCTACTGTTGTCTTCCAACCTTTAAAATTCTAGCCTTTTGGGGCGGCTGGGTGGCTCAGTCATTAAGCGTCTGCCTTCGGCTCAGGTCATGGTCCCAGGGTCCTGGGATGGAGCCCCGCACCGGGCTCCCTGCTCCACGGGGAGCCTGCTTCTCCCTCTCCCACTCCCCCTGCTTGTGTTCCCTCTCTCGCTGTGTATCTCTCTGTCAAATAAATAAAATCTTTAAAAAAATAAAAATAAAAATAAATAAAATTCTAGCCTTTTGCTAAAAGCACGTATCTCAATCTTGTAATGACTTTTTCCAATAGCCAATAAAATTCATCTCTATTATATTAAATTAATTTGGTAGGGCACCTGGGTGGCTCAGTCAGTTAAGCATCTGTCTTCAGCTCAGGTCATGATCCCAGGGTCCTGGGATCGAGCCCCAAGTAGGGCTCCCTGCTCAGCAGAGGGCCTGCTTCTCCCTCCACCTGCCACTCCCCCTGTTTGTGCTCTCTCTCTAATAAAATCTTTAAAAAAATAATTAATTTGGTACACATAAGATATAATTTAGAAAAAGTTTGCCAAAGAAAACAAGCCCAAGACTTAAGTAATGAAGCCAGCAGTAAATCCTGAGAGGCTGATGGCCTCTAGAGAATCAGGAATACATGTGACAATGCAGGTCTCCTCTTGGGCCATCAGCTGTCACTTTCAGGAGAAACCACAAAAGTCCGGGAAGAGGAGGCATGGGGGTTTGGGCCAAAATCAGTCTGCTCCTTTTCCTGTTATTATGAAAATGTCCTTTTAAAAGTAATAATATAAATATAGAGGTAGTATGATTGAGAGATGAGACCCGAAGAGAAGGAGTGTCAAATACTACTTCGAACTTTTTAAAAGATACACATTATTTTTAAGGATAAAAAACAACAAATAAATTCCTTCTACCACCAAAGAACCACCGTGCCCTTCTCCCCCACCCCTACTGTTCCCCCATTCCACTTACTTCTTTCCCTCTGCTTATTCCTCGAGAATGATCCACCTCAAAACCCTTCCTCCAGAAGCTTCTGCTCCTTAAGGGAGTCTTTCCTGTGGCTCCATTCCCTGAGCATCCCCACCCCCACATTATCCTGTTCCCCTCTGTGCTGCTCTGTTGTGATTTTTACGTACCTTAGAGTCATCCCTCAGAGAGTCACACTACTTTATAAGACTGGCAGCAGGCTTGGACAAGGCCATAAAAGCTAAGTACGTTTTCTTCTGTACTCTCCGGAAACTCACTCATCATTTTAATAGTTGACATTCAAAAATCTCCTGTAATTCACTCATGAGGCAGACCTAGTGTGTTTTGAGCAACTTACTACAATGAAGTCCTGTTCCAGATGACCCACGTTTCCACTGACTTAACACAGACACTCCACAGTCGTGCGTCCAGCCCAGGAAAGCACTCTCCACATGAGTGCATCAGGCCCGGCATTATTTTAGGTTCCATCTAATTGCTCTTTGGAAGTAGCACTGGTTTCTTCTCAACACAGGACAAAATAACTCGGATGCAGAAAAGTGATCAAAATGAACATTCTGGCAATTAGGAAGTGTTCTGTCTGTGGCCATTGCTCTAGGCATTCCATGGGAAACAGCATCGTTGTCTTAAAATTGTGTTAAATTGCTGTATCCCACTCCTGGAGGTGTTTGCTTTTTTAGATTTCCCTGAGCAACAAAAAAATTAGAAATGAACTCACCACACCATAGGAATATGTGTCACAAGTTTCAGACACAGGGAGACTTTGGATAACTTCTGGGGCCATCCATGGGAAAGTTCCAACCAAGGACATGTGTGTTGTATGGTTATGGAACCGAGAGGCACCAAAATCGCATATCTGAGAAAAGAGAAACAAGTATCAACCTTCAGCCACTGATTAATAAAAGAATTATCTGTCACAAAAACTTACATCTGAAGTTAACAAATACTTTTGAAAAAAATTAAAAGAAGGAGTCCTACCTTCAATACCCCATCAGCAGCTATAACAACTAAAAAAAAAAAAAAAAAAAAGGAAAAAATTATGACAATCATCTAATTTATTTGAGTCATCTTATACTGAAAAAAACCCATAAACTTCTACTTCTATCTTCCATATGGCATATGAAAGGTAAAACTGAAGTGTTTACTGCACTGAAGCTTTTGAAACAAGAACAAAAAACTAATTCCATGAGGTACTGACTAAAAGGCTTTCGAAACATTTGTTTAAATCAAATGTAGTACTAAGGTCCAGTAAAAATGGCATAGGTTAGTAGCAGTAAAGAGAACCAAAATTTTTTTAAAGATTTTATTGATTTATTTAAGAGAGAGAAAGAGAGTGCTAGTGACCTCCTCAGTACCCCACGTCGGGCTCCCTGCTCAGCGGGGAGTCTGCTTCTCCCTCTCCCTCTGTCCCTTCCCCATGCTCATGCTCTCTCTCTCTCTCTCTTTCCCCATGCACGAGCCCGCCATGGGACTGACCCTGGGATCATGACCTGACTGGCAGATGCTTAACTGAGCCACCCAGGCACCCCAAGAACCAAAGTTTTTACTTGGGTTCTGCCACTATACTGCCAGCACAGTACTGAGGAGGTCACTAGCAATTACTACTTCCTGGTATGTATCTTTTCCTCTCAACTGAAGAGTAATTTTCTTGTAGGCAGGGACAACATTCATTCATTCACTTATTCATACATTCACTCACTTAATAAATATTTGCCAAGTACCTGTTATGGGCGAGGCAATGTAATATGTTCTGGAAGAGGAAGGTGAGCAAGACTGGCTTTTCTCTGCTCCTGTGGAGCTTACAGTCTCATGGGAGAGACACTGAAACCAATGTCTATAGTCAAGTGGGATAACACCTAAAGCTAATATAATACTTTGTTAATTATACTGGAATTAACATTTAAAAAAAATTTTAAATATATAATTATGTGGGATAAATTCTATGATGAGAGACACAGAGATTGCCTTGGAATCAAAGAGCAGGGGTATCTAAGTCTAAGGAGGTCAGCAGGAGTTTTCTGGAAGAAATGGTGCTCACACTAAGACCTGAAGAACAAGCTGGGACTAACCAGACAGAGAAGCGCTGTGGGAGGAAAGCATTTTTTAGGCAGAAAAAAGACCCTTGCAGAAGGTCAGGAGCAGAGGGAAAGGCAGGCAATTTTGCAAGGCAGGGGCCTGGTCCAGGAGGGCCTTTGTGAGAAATGGAAATCCAATGAACAATTTTAAGCAGAGAAATGAAATGGTCAAATGTGCAGAGGGGAGAGCATATGAGAGAACAGAACTGGAGGCAAGGAGACCACTGTGCACCCAAGTGGTTGTAGTCCAAAAGGACAAAAGGAAGCCCAGACAAAGGCTATGGCACAGAACAGGAGAGGTAGACCAAGTCAAGAAACATTTAGGAGGCCAAATCAGGGGCGCCTGGGTGGCTCTGTTGGTTGAGCGCTGGATCCTTGGTTTTGGCTTTGGCTCAGGTTGTGATTTCATGGGTTATGGGAGGCCTGCGTTGGACTCCACCCTCAGTGGGGAGTCTGCCTCCCCTCTCCCTCTGCCCCTCCCCCTGCTCACATACTGTATCTCTCTAAAATAAATAAAATCTTTTTTTTAAAATGGGGGGGGCGCCTGGGTGGCTCAGTCAGTTAAGCGGCTGCCTTTGGCTCAGGTCATGATCCCAGGGTCTTGGGATCAAGCCCCACATCAGGCTCCCTGCTCAGTGGGGTGTCTTCTTCTCCCTCTCCCCCTCCTGTTGCTTGTGCTCCCTCACTGGAACACTCTCTCTCAAATAAATGAATAAAATCTTAAAAAAAAAAGAAAGAGGAAGAAAGGAAGAAAGGAAGAAAGAAAGAGAGAAAGAGAGAAAGCAAAAGAAAGAAAGAAAAGAAAAGAAAAAAGAAAAGAAAAGAAAAAGAGATCTAGGAGGCCAAATCAACTGGACTTAAGCAGTGGGGGGAAGACTCAAGGATGAAATCAAGTAACGAGGCAATACAGCATAATGGTTAGAACAAGATCTCTGCAATCAAACTGTTCCTTTTTATCTCATTTCTGGCTTAGGCAATTGGTATTGCCATTCATGGAGAAAAGGAATAGAGAAATAACTTTTGGGGGGCAGAGACGAAATGAAAAGATCAATGGGGACATGATATATTTTGGGGTCATACAAATATCTATGTGGCCTCTCCCAATAAGCAGACAGACACGTGGTTCTGCAGCTGCGCTCTGTCTGGGAGTGCTAATATGCAGATGGGGCTTTTATGGGAGTGGGTGAATAAGAGAAGAGGCGAGGAGACCCAAGGTAGACCTTGAAGAACTGTTCTGGCATTTCTTTCCTTTTTTTTTAAATTAAATATTTTATTCATTTATATTAGAGAGAGTGAATGAGCAAGCAGGGGGAGAGGCAGAGGGAAAGAGAGAATTTCAAGCAGACTCCGCACTGAGCGCGGAGCCTGATGTAGGGTTCCATCTCACAAGCTTGAGATCATGACCCCAGCCGAAATCAAGACTTGGAAGCAACTGACTGAGCCACCCAGGTGCCCGCTGGCATTTCTTTTGTAAGCCACACAGCACCCTGAACACAGTAGCTGATCAATTCTTACTGAGCTATTACTAATGACCTTGGTAAGTGGGGAAAATAGACTCTTTTCATGAAATAGCCTAAGGGTAAATGTGATACTATATATAAACTACCAATTTTTCAAATAAAGATAGAAATTCTGTTAATACCATATTCAGTTACTTTTTAAAAATACCTCTACTTTTTTTCTCATTATAAGATTAATAAGTGCTTCATTAAAAAAGAACCTAACATAAAAATGTATAACATAGAAAATAAGAGTCTTGTTATTCCGTTTCAGAAAAAAAAAATTGCTAAAAGTTAGGTCAATATTTTTTCAATGTGTACGTGTTTTCCCATCAAGTAACTGCACAAATTGTAATTTCTAAAAATCCGGACACTCTCCATTGTTACTTAGTTTTCATAATGAGAGCATGGATAAATCTGTAACTTAATCATTCTCATCCCATGAGATATTCAAGATATTCTGATAAAACATTTAAAAAAGAGAAGTCAAATAACTTGTGTGGATTGAAATTCTGAGCATGAACTAAAAATCTATAGTCATAAGACTCTGATACTTCCTACTAGATTCTATATTATTTCCTAACAACTTCCTCTTAGCCAACGCATCTCAAAAGTGTTTAGCTCCAGGAAGTTTATGTCTATGAGGAGCCAAAGGATAAGTGATGACCTAGACAAAGGAGAGAACAGTCAGCCCCAGTTGCCAGGCAGGGTCGAGCTGGTGGTCCAACCCGGATGACTGATGAGCGGCAGCCACCAAGAACTTCCCTTTCTCCACCCCACAGACCTCACGGTCCCAGAAGCCCAGCAAGGACAGCCGGCCAGTCCCCTGCTTCTCTTCCTCCACTTACCATGACCACCCACTGCAAGGATCACACTCTTAGCATGCACCCATTTTAACTGCAGTGATTGAAAGATTTAAAAAAAAAATAAGTAGTTCTCTTCCTCCTTACTTAGAAGAATTACTTAGAAAGCATGTAAATAAGTAAAACATGTAAATAAATTGACAGCAAGATTTTTTTTTTTTTAAGTGGCAAGCTCTAACATTTACTTTAGCTAGTGTGGGCCAGCTAAATAATCCACTCACTGCCTTTGTCCATTAACTTCCAAGTGACACAATAGAAGAAGCATTCTGTTACCTTCCTACTGAAAAGTAATAATGTCTAATCCTGCAAGACATTTTAAAATGCTCACTTTCTAAATTAAAAAATATAAGATCATAAATAAACTTTAGAGAGTACAGAAGAAGAGAAAGAAGAAAAAGAAAGCCTTTGCTTTCCAAACTCTGAAATGTTTTGATCATTTTTGGGCACAACGCCAGGTAAAATGACGGACATAAAAAGTTTACACCAAATAATTCAGAAGTAAAAAGAACAAAACTCAAAACTGCTAGTACAGAGAACCATCTAAAAATAGGAGACTAGAAGTATATGACTACATGCTTTGATCTAGCAATACCTCTTCTAGAAAGTGATTCTAGAGAAATAATTAAAGATGTGTTAAAAATTTTTGCTGAGAAATATCAAGCTCAACATTTTTTATCATAGAAAAAAATGTAAATAACCCAAATGTCCACATTCTGTGCTACTGATACAATGGAATACTAATGCAGCTCCTTGAAATAACAAAGAATTCTGATATTTATTAACAATGGAAAGATTTTCATGGTATCAGTGATGAGTCAAAACATCAGGGTACAAAAGATATGAAAAACATGAGCCTATTTCTATAACAAGGTGTACGTATTTCATAATAAAATAAGTAAAATAAAAACATAGGACTACATTACCATTTCGTGACTTGAGATCTCTGTGAATCACCTTGACAGGAGCCTCCATATGTAAATAGTGCATTCCTTTTCATACAAGAAGGAAGAAAGGCTTTTAATATCATTTTCCAACATTGCATTAGTATTAACTTTCTGTTTTAAAACATCAGTACTACCTTTCATATTTTTGCAAAGGATTCAGTAGCAGAAACTAAATTCGTGTGTTCTGTTCTTATATGATTGATAAAATAGAGACAGGATAAGTCTACATTAGGAAAATTTATATGCTAAGGAAAATTCATGTGCTTTAATCTCTTAGAAGTTAGAATTTGATTGTGGGTTAAGTTATTACAGTACTTAATAAGGACACCTTTTCCTGAGTCTGCACAAAAACAGCGCAGTTACAACTGGAAGAAGTGCCCCAATGACTAAGGTATTCCACTACCAGCTGCGTTCTAGATCTGCCAAAGTTCCGACCAAGGTTTTCAGCTTTCATTTGGATGTCTGCAGCTACCCAGTTGCAGCCTGGTTTATTTTCTCAGTACTCATTCCAGTAGGACCTTGGGAGAGGTGGAGGTGGAAGGGAACTGGTTGGATTCATAAGTTGTGGTTGGTAAAGGACTTTATGATCCTCAGAAAAATTTACAGTAGTTACAAAATAGTCTCTTTACAAGGATGAATCTTTGCGATAATCTATATTTAAATGCACTCCAAAATTCTCTCCAACATATTGAGAATGTATATCAAGTTACTTCAGTAAATTGAATGTACATATAGTTTTATTATTTTGAATAAAATACTATATTTTAAAATTATACTTTAAAAGACATATTTCATAGTGATCCTCTTAGTAGTATTTGACTCTATTTCTGTATTTATGTATTGTATACCCCCTCAGAATAAAGCAAAGGAACATTTTCTATTGAGATATACTATTTCCTTTCCCTTTACTTCTCAAGTTGTCTTTTCTAAATAATTGAAGAAACAGCCTCCCCACTGCCACAACCAAACAAGCTCCTTCTGTTAATGAACTAGCCATTACATGTAATAAGTAGGCTTTGGTTCTTTTTCTGAGCATATAGAAAATTTCAATTTTATAAAGGCTAATTTTTTTAAGTAATCTATTTTTTTCCACCATTCTGATTCTTAGATATTGAAGGTCCTGTAAGAACAAAGAAAATTAAAAAATTTAAACTCCTGAGATACAAAGACATGATGGAAAAGAGTCCCGTTTACAAAAGCATCAGTAATTTTAGCAATCTCAAACAAGACATAGCTAGAATACAGGACAGCATTCTTCTAACACAAAGTTCTACATACTACACACTGAAGATTCAACAGCTACAACTTGGATAACTTTTAATAACTTCTAGGACTGAATTTCATAATTACCTCTTTCTTGCTTAAGAACTAAATTCAGGTAGAATCTGTTTAATTACCATTAGAGGCGGGGCTAGATAGGGTCTACACTGGCTGACAAGTAAAGATTTCCAAAAACAACACTCAGGTACTAAAGCTTTAAATAGAGGCATTTTCTTCCTTATGGCAGATACTATGAGAAAAAAATACTGTAAGTTATTTGTGTATAATGTATAGTATGCTTTTATATTTAGTGTGCATAAACACAGTAGTAATCACAATCATAGAAAAGTCTGTTTAATTTGTTTTTATAGAGCCATCCATAATTCTGCCTTATTTTTATTGCAAACAATGAAGAAGGCTAAAAAAAACCCCAGCATCATCAGTTTTAAGATTCACGGCTCCTAAAATAAAAGATTTGACTGGTGTCATTCGGGGGAGATGGGGAATCAGTGAGGACCCTTCTGAGACTGGATCCCGGTGCACCTGCTTGAACTGTTCCGCTTACACACTGGGGAGGGACTCACAAGACTTTCAGATGTACCTGCTGGTCCGCCCTCCACTTCCCTTTCTACCCAGAAAGGGGAAGGGCTTTTTTTTTTTCCTTTTTCTTTTTTTTTGTTTTTGTTTTTGTTTTTGACTTTGAGGAGGTATTCTCTCGGCAGTGATGTTAAGCAATGCCTACTTCAAAATGCATGAATCAACTCTTATTTGAAATGAATTATTCATTCTTTGATTTCTTAACATCTTGTTGCTCCAGTGTTTTCCATCACGGTCAAACTGAAAGGTGCAGAGCTGAATGTGACACAGAATCAACAAAAATCAAGGCTTCCTACTTCATTTCCGAGTTCTGTGCACAGCTCTGCCACAGAGAGTTGAAGTCATTCTGAAAGCACCGATTTCTTCTTCCTTTTATAGGCCATTTTAAATAGTGTTACTCGTGACTATAAATAAGTAGGTCTCTTCTCTGCCTCACTCTTCTCACCTGGGGCCAAACACATTCGAACCTGCCTCTCAGGGCAATTCCGCAGCCACAAAAAGGTGATTTTATTGTGCTGCAGTTGGACACACGGTCCCCTGCCCTCTCTCTCACCGCCCCCCCCCCCCCCCCCCCGGTTTACCTGGAGTTCCAGTCTGCTACTTCACTAGCTCTGTTCTTTCTCTTCTTTGTCCTTCTGATAGAGTGCCAGAGGGCTTGAGAGAGCCCAGGAATAACTGAGCTGATCTGGAGCCAAGGGACTTGCCCCTCAGACAGGGACTGCACTGGGGAAGGGCAGGGAAGGACAAGGTTTACAGGCCCAGGCCAGGCCGGAGGAGGGGGGTGCCAAGGAAGCTTCCAGAGCAGCGTGTGCACAGCAGGAAGCAGAGTGACTGATGTCAGTTGATTTGTTTGCTGTCTATCTATCCTAAGTGCCATTAAGTAATAACATGGGTGTAATTGGCTAAGCACCCTAAATGCAAATGTCTGTAAGGTGAAGTGCGTTCAGTCGAAGACTGCTGGGATATATATTTACATTTATGTAAGTGTATTTCCACAATGCTTCTCGCGGCTCCCGGTGATAACGCACCCCCCGGCTTACAAACAGGTGGTTCCTGCACACTACAGACTTGACTATGATGTTACACGAAAATGTCTTGAAGAATGCGAGAATTTAAGTCTGATTTGAAATGCTTGATGCATGAATACACAATTAAGTTAATTAACACAGCCAAAGCCTTAAGTACACCATCCTAAACATAGAGCTTATTATTCTTATAAGGTAATGAAGTATCGTTCAGCAGCAGCATTTTGCATGAAATTTAAAAAAAATTTTTTTTCACTTTCCCTATTTGAAGAATTTGGCAGGTGTTGATGAAACTTAAAACTGACAAGAAAATTCCCCAAAAGAAAGACTGTTACTTTTGGAAATCACTGTATGACTTCCCAGTGAAAGCCAAGTATGAGTTGCTCTCCTTAGCGCTAAATATCCTTTTACTCGCTTTGTAAATAGATGCTTGAAGAGACTGGAGGAGCAAAATGCAAAGGAGTGAATTGCCCTGGTAAAATCTGGACACACTTGCTTTCTAGGGGTTGCTAGAATACAAATGTAACTATCAGTGTTCATTATTTAGATTAAGTTGTTTCCAAAGCAACTTTGACAGTTATAAATAAAACTCAGAAACCTCCAGCTAGGAAAATGGAAAAAAAAAAGAGATAAAAATAAATGGAATTTAAATTGCCTTAGAAAGCATTAGTCTATGCCGGAATTTATGAGGGAAAAAGAACTGGGCACCTTGTTTAGGGGTTCTGTGTATTAAAAATATTTCATTTCCAGGGTGATTTCCAAGTTTACGTTAAATAGAAAATAAAATCTGAATTGCTTTCACATGGCAGGGCAAATAAAACTTTTTTTTCAAAGTGGTTACGGTTTTTACCATATTATTATGTACACAAAATGAGCAGGACTAATCCTACAATAAATCACGTTTTCTGGGTACTGAGTCTAAGTGGAGACTTGCGGAACAACAGAATTCCATTTAACGTGTCAAGGAGGCTGGTCAATTACAATGTCACAAAATGTGGCAAAAATGGCTTTGGAATGAATTATTCATTCTTTGATTTCTGGAATCAAATGAGAATCTAAAGTCTTATTTTTTATTGTTTTTACAGATTTCAGTGAAAATCACTGATTTTGTTGGAACTTAGTTTTCGGGAAAGAAATAAAGTGAAGAGAGGGCGCCTGGGTGGCTCAGTTGGTTAAGCGACTGCCTTCAGCTCAGGTCATGATCCCGGAATCCTGGGATCGAGTCCCACATCGGGCTCCCGGCTCAGTGGGGAGCCTGCTTCTCCCTCTGACCCTCTCCCCTCTCATGATGTTTCTCTCTCTCTCTCAAATAAATAAAATCTTAAAAAAAAAAAAGAAATAAAGTGAAGAAAGAAAAGGAATGCAAGAGTGGATAGGCAGTGACTTAAAATATCTATAAACCTCCCACCCCCCCAAAAAAGAGGGAGAATGAGAGAGAGACAAACCAAGAAAAGACTCTTTACTAAAGAGAACAGATGTTTACCAGAGGCGAGGTTGGGGGGCTGTGAAACAGGTGAAGAGGATTAAGGAGTGCACTTGTGATAAGGACTAATATACAGAATTGTTGAATCACTATATGGTACACCTGAAGCAAATGTAACACATAACTATACTGGAATAAAATAATCTGTACAGAAAGTTGCAGAATTCTTGCTACTTGTAGTCTGAAAAAGAGTAACAAATCTTCAACCTTAAGTCACCATGTCATGAAGGGAAAACATGCCCCACCAATTCTGTAAGAATACAGGAAGCTTCATTACCTTTGGCTACATCAGTGGCCCAGGTCATAATGTGATCCATGTCCATCTCCTCACTTCTGTTACTGTTAATGTAATCATAGAGTGATCCCAGAGAAGCATATTCTAGTTTCAAAGAAAAAGGTAAGCATACAATTAAAACCAAGGGGCATTTCAGAAATAAGACTGTGTACACCTGAAACTAATATATATCAACTCTACCCAAATGAAAAAACAAAAAAACAAGAAAAAATAAGACTTTAAATTCTCATTGGGAAAATGTGTTAAAGAATTTACCAAAGGACATTAAAAGCACATAAAAACTGTTCCATGCTGTGGTTTCTAAAAGTTATTCTCCTCCTGAAAAGAAATTTGTTAAAGACAAGACCACTGACAGAATGAATGGTAAAACTTCAACTCAGGATGAACTCAAGAGCCTTCCGGATGGAACTGAGAAACACAGGGAGGTGTTGGAAGAATGCATCTGAAACAAAGGCAGACACGTATATAGGTATTTCTTTAAAAACTGTCATTCTAATGAGACAGAGGAGATTAAGATATATAAGCAGAGCATTTATGTGACAAGGTAAACAAATCAATCCTTGTTGCATCAGGATTTAGAAGAGCTCTCAAAACTTAAGCACACACACATAAAAACCACAAGAAGGTAAGAAAATTCCTTTAAAAATGGCTTTGAGAGCGTCTGCCTTCAGCTCAGGTCATGATTCCAGGGTCCTGGGATCGAGCCCCGCATCGGGCTCCCTGCTCCGCGGGAAGCCTGCTTCTCCCTCTCCCACTCCCCCTGCTTGTGTTCCTGCTCTTGCTGTCAAATAAATAAAATCTTTTCTAAAAAATGGCTTTGAGATATAAATCACATACCATAAAATTCACCTACTATCAGTGTACAATTGGGAGATTTTCAGTAAATTGAGAGAGCTGGGCAACCACTACCACAATCCAATTTTAGAACCTTTCCAGCACTCCGAACAGTTCCCTTGTGCCTATCTGGTTAAGCCCCACTCTCAACCCCAGCCCTGCAGTCTGATTTCTGGCTCTACAAATGTACCTTTTCTGGATATTTCATGTAAATGGAATCATACAGTATGTGGCCTTTTGTGTCTGACTTCTTTTCCTTCACAAGATGATTCCAAGCAATCCTTTCTATTGCTCAGTAACAGTCTATTGTGTGGATTTACCACAATTATTTTATTCACTCACCAGTCAACAGACATTTGGGCTGTTCCTGATTTTTGGCTATTAAGAATAATGTCCTATGAACACTGTGTACATTCCTTTGTATGGAAATAATGTTTTCATTTCTCTTGGGTAGATTCCTAGATGTGGAACTGCTGGGACATATAGGGAGTTTCAGTTTAACATTTTAAGAAACTGTCAAACTGCTTTCCAAAGAGGCTGTACCATTTTATACCCCTACTAGCACTCTATGAGGGCTTCAGTTTCTTCACATCCTTGCCAACACCTGGTACTGTCCGCATTCTTAATCACAGCCGTTTTAGTGAGTGTAATTCCACGGGTATCTCATATCGTTAACTGCACTTTCCTAATGACTAATAAAGTTCAACATCTTTTCACGTGCCCAGGAGCCCCGAGTATATATTCTTAGGCAAAATGTTTATTCCAATAGTTTGCCTGCTTTAAAATTTGGTTGTTTTATTAACACTGAATTTCAGGAGTTCCTTGTTTATTCTGGAAGCAGGTCCTTTATCAGATTTATGATTTGTAAGCATTTTCTCGCAGTCTGGAACTTGTCTTTTCATTCTCTTAACAGCACCTTTCAAAGACCAGAAATTCTTAATTTTGATGAAGTCAAATTCATCATTTTCTCTTTTATGGATTATGCTTCTGGTGTCGTATCTAAGAATTCTGCCTAACTCAAAGGTAAAAAGATTTTCTATTTTTCTTCTGAGAGTTATACAGTTTTAGCTCTTAACACTTAGGTCTATGACCTATGTTGGGTCTATGACATTTTTTGTATGTGGTTTAGGATTTAAAGATTTTACTTATTTGACAGAGACAGACACAGCGAGAGAGAGGGAACACAAGCAGGGGGAGTGGGAGAGGGAGAAGCAGGCTTCCCGCGGAGCAGAGAGCCCGACGTGGGGCTCAATCCCAGGACCCTGGGATCATGACCTGAGCTGAAGGCCGATGCTCAACCGACTGAGCCACCCAGGCGCCCCATGGTTTAGGATTTAATACCATTTTTTTACATGTGGATTTCTAATTGTCCCAGCACAATTTGTGGAAAATACTATCTTTTGGGATGCCTAGGTGGCTTGGTCAGTTAAGCATCTGCCTTTGGCTCAGGTCATGATCCCAGGATCCTGGGATCAAGCCCCGCATCAGGTCCCTTGCCTCAGCAGGAAGCCTGCTTCTCCCTCTGCCTGCCACTCCCCCTGCTTGTGCTCTCTAACAAATAAATAAATAAAATAAAATTTTTCAAAAGTTAAAAAAAAAAAAACTTTTACCCATTGAATTGTCTTGGCACCTTTGCTGAAAATCAATTATCAGTCAGTGTTAAGTTTTTCCCCTAAATTCTTAATTTTGTTCCATTGGCTACATGCCTGTCCTTGGGCCGATATTACATGTATCCTAATATCACTGATTACCACAGATTTATAATAAGTATTGAGATGAGTTAGTCTAAGTCTTCAACCTTAGTTCTTTTAAAATTCTAGGTCTTTTGCACTTCTTTGTGAATTTTAGAATCATCTTGTAGTTTCTTATTTTAAAAAACCTGCTGGGATTTAGATAGGAATTATTTTGAATTTATCTATCAATTTGGGGAGAATTGCCATCTTGACAATAATGAGTCTTCCAAACCATGAACATGTAATGTTCTCCATATTATTTAGATCTATAGTTTCTCTCAGCAATGTTTTATACTTTTCATGATAAAAAGTCTTACACTTTATTAAATTTATACTCAACTATTTTATTCTTTTTGATACTACTGTGAATGAAATTGTATTTTTTTAAGATTTTAAGTACCCACTACATCCACCATGGGGCTCGAACTCACAACCCCAAGATCAAGAGTCACATGCCCTGGGCGCCTGGGTGGCTCAGTTGGTTAAGCGACTGCCTTCGGCTCAGGTCATGATCCTGGAGTCCCGGGATCGAGTCCCACATCGGGCTCCCTGCTCGGCGGGGAGTCTGCTTCTCCCTCTGACCCTCTTCCCTCTTGTGCTCTCTATCTCTCATTCTCTCTCTCTCAAATAAAAAAAAAAAAAAAAAAACTAAAAAAAAAAAAAGAGTCACATGCCCTACTGACTGAGCCAGCCACATGCCCTGAATGAAACTGTTTCTTAACTAATTAATTTGTGGATTCCTTGGGATTTTCTACATACAGGATCATGTCATGTAAGACAGTTTTATTCTTCCTTTCCAGTATGGTCTCCTTTTATTTTTCTTGTCTAACTGTACTGGCTTAGAACCTTCAGTATAAGTATAATGTTGAATAGATGTGGCAAGAGCGGAACCTCACCGCCTTGTCCCCAGTCTTAGGGGAAGAACATTCAATTGCACCATTAAGCGTGACATTAGCTGTGGGTTTTTTTAGATGCCATTTATCAGGCTGAGAAAATTCCCTTCTGTTCCTACTCTATTGAGATTTCTAATGATAAACGGGTGTTGTACTATGCCAGAAAGTTTTGTCTTTTTATTCTATTATCAATTATAGTGCCTTACATTAACTGATTTTAGATGTTAAACAAACCTTGCATTTTTGGGATATATTCCATTTGGTAATGGTATATAATCCTTTTTACAGGTGGCTGGATTCAGTTTGCTAATACAGCTCTTCCTTGACTTACAATGGGGTTACATATCAATAAGCCCATCATAAGTTGAAGATACAGTTTAAGTTGAAAAATGCTAGATCTAGGGGCATCTGGGTGGTATAGTTGGTTGGACATCCGATTCTTCATTTCAGCTCAGGTCATGGTCTCAGGGTTGTGGGATCGAGCCCCGCACTGGGCTTTGTGCTCAGTGGGGAGTCTGAGGATTCTCTCTCTCCTTCTGCCCCCCTCAAATAAAATCTTAAAAAAAAAAAAAGTAAACGCATTTAGTATACCTAACCTACCAAACATCATAGCTTAGCCTAGCCTATTTTAAACTAAGCGCTCAGAACACTTAGATTAGCTTATAGTTGGGCAAAATTGTCTAATGCAAAACCTATTTTATAAGGAGGTATTGGATACCTCGTGTAATTTACTGAATACTGTACTGAAAGTAAAAAATAGAATGGCTGTATGGGTACAGAACGGTGGTAAGTCTGTCAGTTGCTTACTCTTGGGATCGTGTGGCTGACCAGGAGCTGTGGCTCTTGCCGCCACCGACCAGCATCACAGGAGAACACCATACCACATATTATCAGCCCCAGGAAAGATCAAACCTCAGTATCTGAAGTACCGAAGTACGGTTTCAACTGAATGCATATTGCTTTCGCACCAACATAAAGTCAAAAAACTGTAAGTTGAACCACTGTAGTTTGGGAACCTTCTGTATATAATTAAGAATTTTTACATCTATGTTCATGAGGGATATTGGTCTATAGTTTTCTTTTCTTAATATGTTTTTGTCTGGCTTCGGTACTGGGATAATACTGGCCTTATAGAATGAGTTAGTAAGTGTTCCTTCCTCCTTTATTTTCTGAAAGAATACGGGAAGGACTGATGGTGTTTTTTTCCATAAACGTGATAGAATTCACTAGTGCAATCATCTGGGTCTGGGCTTTTCATTATGGAAATATTTTAAATTATTAATTCAAATTTCTTTATTATAGGTCTATTCAGATTTTCTGTTTCTTCTTGAGTCAGTTTTGATAATGTGTATCTCTATAGGAATTTGTTTATTGCATCTAAATTGCCTAATTTGGTGGCATAAAATTGATGACACCATTCCCTTATACTCCCTTTAAATCTGTAGAGGCCATAGTGCTGTCCTCTCCTTCATTTCTGAGTTTGCTAATATGTATCTTCTCTCTTTTCTCTTGGTCAATCTAGCTAAAGGTTTGTCAGTTTTAATGATCTTTTCAAAGACCAAATTTTTAGTTTCACTGATTTTTCTCTATTATTTTTCTGTTTTCTGTTTTATCATGTTCTGCT